AACAGCTGCAAACATCCATTAATAATTGGCACATGGAATGTATAAAGTATAAATTGAGAAAAGTTGAAAGTTGTGGGAAATGAAATGCAACACATAAAGATCGATAGCCTAGGCACTGGTGAGCTGAAAGGGACATTGTGAATCAGACAAGCATATGGTCTACTATGTGGGGAATGACAAATTGAAGAGGAACGGTGCCACCGTCATCATCAAAAGAAGTATTTCAGGATCTAGCCTGAAGTAAAGTGTTGTCAGTGGTAGGATAATATCCATATGCTTATAAGGAAGACCAGTTAGTACAACTATGATTCAAATTTATGCCCCAGACACTGAAGCCAAGATACAGAGAGTAAAGCTTTTTACCAACTTCGGCAATCCGCAGTTGGCCAAGCATCACAACCGTTGTTGTGCTGGAGCCCCGTGTCGCAGTCCGTCTATCTCATGGCGGGTCTTCCTCTTTCTTGTTAACCCTTTACTTTACTAAGCATGACGTCCCTCCCCAGAGACTGCTCCGTCCTGGTGACACGACCAACGCACATGGAGTGAAGTCTCACCGTGCTCACTTCTAAGAAGTTGTACTTGCTTCAAGACAGCTCTGTTCATTCTTCTGGCAGTCCATGGTATATTCAGTACCCTTTGCCAACATCATAATTCGAATGCATTGCTTCTTCTTCAGTCTTCCTTATTAGAGATTCCTTTTTGTTGTAAGCAGACCATCAGGTCCCTCCTTCTAGTTGGTCTTGGTCTGGAAGCTCTGCTGACACCTGTCCCCATGGGTGACCTGCTGAGATTGGCAATACCAGTGGCTTCTAGCATCACAGCAACACGCAAGCCACCATAGTGTGACACACTGACACGCAGGTGGTGGCTACCTTTCTCAATGCAGGTAAATTCTGATTACTCTATATAATCGTGGAGGTCATTTTTCCCAGCTGGTTCTACTATCCTGAGATGTTAGCAAAGTATGTTAGATGAAGTTAGTGATGTCTAGAATGTCAGCATGCAATGTCTAGACCTGCTGCAGGCATCTTAGGACCAGGAAGGCAGCCCCCCAGCATTCTAAGGATGGCAGCTCCCATCGACGGAAAGACTATCTTTGATGACATCACAAACGGCCTCCCCTCCATTCTTGTCATGGGATATTCTAAGTCCTTTTGTTGTTTATGCCGTTGGACGTTGGGTTTCCTATTACTCACATCTGGGGACAGACCACTCTACGCTTGAGTGCTATTTCCCGAGGGCTCTCACATTTGGGATTGTCAAGCAGTAAGCAGAAGCATCCTTGAGTCACTTTCCCCAAAACACTTGCCAACACAGCTCCACTTTCTTCTGACACTGACACTATGGCAGAGAGAGCTGACGCTAACCAGATGCCCTGCTCTCTGCTCCAAGGTCCTAACTCCTCCAGGAGCTCCTCGGTGTGGCTGTTTATAGGGATTTTTCCCAGAACATCATGAAAACTTTTCATCTGCAGCTTTATTTCCTTTATTTTGGAAGCATTTCCTTTGGGGCAAAATATCTAATGTTGCAAGTTCTTTTTTAGGGACATGAACTAACATGTTTCTAATTGCTTAAAGGTGTGAGTCTTTTCACCCAGCATTTCTATAATTGGTTTAAGCTTTTCCTCTAAGTCACTAATTCAGATGAGCTGTGCCTGGCTTGTTTCTTGAACTGCTCATTCATTCTCTGTACTGGACTCTTATGGTGTCTTTGATTTCCTCACCTGGAGAATCCTTTCTTTCTCATTCTGTTGTTTCATGTTCTCTTCCAGCTCTTGTTCAGCACATTAATGTCATTAACTTACTGGTCCCACACAGCTCAGGAAGGGACTTTCTTCTTTTGTTTATCTGGTTATGCTTTCTTCCACACAAGCTTCCTCGTCTGTCTCCCCCATGCTGTGTTCCTTCCCCCACCACCACTTTTTATTGATGTCTTGGGTTTCCTGTCTGCTCCTATCTTATTCATATTTAACAGGGCTTGCTCTTTGAACAGCTTCCATTTGCTCAAATACAGTATGGGGAAGTTCTCCTTGACTCCCTTCTCACTGTACCTGAGTGAGTCGAGGACTAGGATGCCGCCATTGGATTTATTTCCGTGCAGACTAAGTGCACCGTGGGGATAAGGACTGTCCCACACAGACTATGGAAGTGTGGCCTCAGCTCTCTCTCCCGGCCACTCACCTCCCACCCCCGTAAGGTGTATCCTATCCCTTGGCACAGTGTCCTGTGGCTGCCGTAGCAAATTTCCACAAACTGGGTGGCTTCACATGATGGAAAAACTCTCTCACAGTTCTGAGGCCAGGGGTCTGAGATCACCGTCACTGAGCCAAAGTCAAGGTTTCAGAAGGCCTGCCTGCGTCCCCTCCAGAGCTTCCAGGGAGAGTCTTGCAGCTGCGTCACTCCAGCTTCTGCCCATGTCTCCACATGGTGTTCTCTTCCGTGTGTCACATGTCCCACCGACCCCAGCCCCTGTCTTATAAAGGTATGCGCAATCGTGGCTTTAGGTCCTATTCAGGCAAGCCAGGAGAGTCTTCTCATCTGCAGATCCGTGATTCATGCATATGGGCAAAGGCTCTTCTTCCAAATAAGGTAACATTGACAAGTGTCTGGTATTAGGGCCTGACATCCTGGGGCCATCGATGGTTCAGCTTACCAAGTCCTCATTAGACTTTGAATCTTTGCTTCAATTCAATGCAGAATCTGGGAAATGGAAAGTCCTTCAATTTTTTAGTTGTCTCATAAGGATGTGAAAGCTGGACAATGAATAAGAAAGACCAAAGAGCTGACACCTTTGAGTTGTATTGTTGGCAAAGAATACTGAAAGTATCATGGACTGCCAAAAGAATGAACAACTCTGTCCTGGAAGAAATGTAGCTGGAATGTTCCTTGGAAGCGAAAATGGCCAGACTTCACCTCACCTAGTTTGATCGTGTTGTCAGAAGGGAGCAGTCCCTGGAGAAGACTATCGTGCCTGGTAAAGTGGAGGGTCAGTGAAAAAGGGGAAGGCCCTCAACGAGATGGACCGACACAGTGGCTACAACAATGGGCTCAGGTACAGCGTGGACTGCAAGGTTGGCGCAGGACTGGGCAGTGTTTTGTTCTGTTGGCCGTGGGATCGCTCTGAGTTGGAGCCTACTGGATGGCACCCAACCACAACAACAACAACTGAGGTGGTGGAGGTGGCGGATGGGCTTTACTCATCACTGTCTTCTCCAGCCTCGATTTCCCCGCCAACTTGTTGAAACCACTTGCCCTCTCTCACTCCAAGATTCATTCTGCAAATGGTATTGAGTGTCTTCTTTCCATCACGACGGATCAGTGAGAATCTCCTTGGTTTTCCCCCAGTAGGGCTTGGCTCTTGGGTGGCACAAACGGTTTGCAGTAGACTCCTAACCTAAAGGGTGGCAGTTCTAGCCCACACAGTGCTGCGGAAGAAAGGCTGGAGACCTGCTTCCGTAGAGATTACAGCCAAGAAAACCCTACAGGGCAGTTCCACCCTGCAACCTGTGCAGGCGCCGTGAGTCAGAATCAATTCCACAGGAACCGTTTGCATGGTTTTCAGGGCTTTTGGGGAGAGGGGGTGAGGTGAGGTGCCAGCCTCTACTTCAGGTTTCTCCTTATTGCATTAAGGAGTTGAGAAGTCTCTGGCACCACGTTGGACTCTCCTTGTTTGGTTGCTGCTGCTGCTGCTGCTGCTGGTGTGTGTGTGTGTGTGTGTGTGTACCAAGTTTTTCCTCTCATTTCACTCATTTTCTTAGTTACTTGGGGGTCAGATGCTCTGTGATCCAGATTCACCCACCATTTGAAGGGGCTGTCTACCCCACGCTCTCTGCAGGCTTTAGTGCTGGCTATGTTCCAACAGAAAGAGTAGATGATCAAATCCACGTTCTTTTCAGCAGTTACTAACAATGAAAACGAAGAGCAGTGCAAGCAAACACAGTGACTTAGGAATAACGCACCCACGAAGCCTTTTACATTTATAACGCCCCAGAGCCACTTTCCTTTTCATTAAGGCTCAGAGGGCAGTGCCTGCATCTGTCTTGAATCCCCAGTGCCTAAGCCTGCAGGTGGCCCACCGCTGGAGGTGCAGTGGGGGAAATGTCGCCTTCCACTCAGGAGACCTGGGGTGACTCCCGGACAATGCACCTCACGTAGTCACCACTCCTCTGTCTGTCAGTGGAGGCCAGTGTGAGGCGATGATGCTGAACGGGTTTCAGGGGAGCTTTCACACTAACATGGTCTAGGAAGAAAGGCCTGGCCACCTGCTTCCCAAGTCAGTCAGTGCCAACCCTACACACACGGTCTGGCGCTCGGCCCATCCCCGAGTTGGCAGAGCACGTGGCAGTGAGTTGGTCTACAGACGTCCAGGAACGTTGTGAACGAATGAACGACTACTATCCGCACTGCATAGATGGGAAGACTGAAGGCCGTAATAACTAAGGACCTTGTCCCAAGCCCACGGAGCTGAACATGGATGGAGATGTGACAAATAGGACAGCGGGAAGCCGACCCACCTGGAGGCCCAGGGACCTGGGCTCGCCGGACACATCGCCCGAGCACCCAGCTTTGCACCTTGACTCCAGGGAGGCTGTGGCTCCAAGTCTCGCCAGCATCCCCGTTGCCGTGGTAACAGGAGGCGGCAGCGCAGGCGCAGAGGGCTGGGGGGGGCGGGGAGCTGCGCGCGGCTGGAGCGGGACGGCACTGCGCAGGCGCAGCGTCTCCGTTGCTAGGGCCTTCTCGCTCTAATTGAGTGGTTAAAGCAAGGTTTGGGGGTTCCGGAGCCTCCGGTCGCAGCGGGGAAGATCGGAAGCCCCCCTCTGTGCCCTGCGCGCTCCGGGCCCGTGAGGCCCCGGCTGTGACCTTTCCCTGCGGGAAGTGAGGGTACCCCCAGTCCCCGTCCCTGTCCGCATCGAGGGCCCCCCAGCCCCAGCGCCCCTAGCGGAGCCCCGACGCCTGCAGCCGCGGCCTGTCCGAGGGCGAGGAGAACGGAGAGAACCAGCCATGTCGAACGCGTGAGTTCGGGGCCCCGGGCAGCACCCCAGCAGCCGCGGTGGGCTCGGCGAGGGCCCCCCCCC